CAATTTAACAGAATTTAAACGAATGTTAATTAACAAGGACCTGTCTTACTGATTTAAGGTCAATAAAATGTGTATCTGAAAGACCTGGAAATGAGAGCTCACTGAAACACTCAGCTCATTTTTTTCTCCCCTTTCCCTCCCAATAAATGACCTGATTCAGACTGATTTTGATCTTTTTCAAAATATATTTATGCATCTGATGCTCATGCATTAAGTCAGACTTCTCTGAAAAATCAAACCAGCCCCCTAGTTAGATTTAATCTTTATTAATAAGCAAAGTCCATAAAATGCTTCTATTTCAATTCAAGATAGAAATTTCAATTAGCAAGTTAAGGACTGAATTGACATTGAAATATTAGTATGTATTCTTAAGTTTAATGCTATTTCACTGAAGGTGCAGATTTTATAATAAAACACGATTCAGCATAAAATAAACTTTTTATAGAAATGCTACATATGAAGAAAGTCACTTACCTTCTGTTTTATTATTAACCTCCAATTTCACTTATAGTATAGGATGACAAATTGTACTTGAGTAATCGGGTGAAAAAGTGAAGTCTGGGAATATTTGATGAATTCCTACATTTTTACTATTAAATCCTTCCCCAAACTATACCACTATTCTCTAAATAAGCTCATGTAAAAAAATTAGTACCATATATAATTACATAATTCTCAAGTATCATAAAGCTAGAACTTTAACAGCTTTGTTGAATGTGATACACCGTTATCTTTATTTTTGCTAGGATATAAACATCCAAATTCATGGTGCCTTGGAAAAAACAATTGCCAAAGACATCCCAGTTTACTTAAATGTGTAATTTCTGAAAAGTTTATCTTTTTTTTTTCTTAATTTATGCATTATATGTCACATAAAAATGATGTTTTCAAAGGTTATGCAAATCCATGAAAATTTTCCATAAATCCAATATGAATTGTTAGACAATTAATTTTATTTGAAGGAACATGCAGATTATATGTGCTGAAATCACATCAGCATTAATAGATTCTGTTTGTAAAACATTAAAAATCATTGTTGTAATTTTCACCCTCAAAGTGAGACCTTGGTACGATTAGAACATATTTCAGCTGTAGAGGTGCACATCATTATGTGCTTATCTGGACTTGCACATGCTGCTCCCTTTCCAAAGAGTCCCAGTTGGTTCAGATGAGAAGGATGATCCCTTAGATTTAAAAAATAAAATAGTGGAAGCATCTGGATAGCACCTGGAAGTACCAAAAGCCAACATGCTGCTGCTTTGTTTCATAAAAATAACAACGTGGGCACAGGAAAGATTTCTGTCCTCTAAGTTTCTAAAGTGAGTTAGTGTTTAATTAACTTGGTACAATATTTCTGATATTCACTGATTTTTTTATTTGTCAAAGATCATCTCATGGATATTTTCCTTCACTAGAAACGGGAAATCTCATCTAACAATGGCCTTCCACAGCAACTCCATCTTTCCAGTGCTTTCCAGTGCATTGCCCATTCTTTTTCAACTGACAAGCACTACATCCATTAAAGGCACCTTATCATACAAGAAATAACTTTTCACTACTCTTTTCTAGTTTTCATTCCCATGGGCCTGTTTTTTGACAAATTCAACCAGAAGATGTAATTTGTAGTAACTCGGTCTGTGCTGCCACATGCTGAGGATCACAGCATTGTGATTTACCTTGAAAGTGACTGCTTTGCTTGATGTGGAATGCAACCAAATCTCTCTTTGCCACCCTTAGACATGACAGACCAACAACACCTAATGGCAGGAATACTGACACCATGCTTGTGAATACACTTGCACAAGAAGCCTCTTTCACCAATATACATTTTTAATTCCTCCCATAACTGCATTTTGGCATCTCCTTCAGGACCTCGTTCCCATTATGTCTGGTTGCCTACAAACCACCACAGCTCTCTCTCTGTCTTCAGCACTGCAGACATACAAACACCTTAGCAGCTGATTAGGCTGCATTTAAGAGAGAGCACGTAGCACATGGAAAAACAGGAGATGATCCAAGCAGCTGCAGTTGCTGGCTGCAGCACATTTCTACAGAGTAACCGCAGTGATCGCCACCACACGAGCTTAGGAAGATAAGGCACAATCCTGGTGTTGCTTCCAGCACTGAGCTTTGGTCAAAACTTGTGCTTTCCCTAAGTGAGCCACACTTGCATGGCTTTTCTGGAGGCATAATGTTTCTTTAGTTTGTTGTTTGCTTGGGTTTTTTTTTTTTGCTAACTGGTTATGTTGTAATAATGCCGTTTCTCTGTTTATTCAAGCATCTGATACACAACTGATAAAAAAGTTGAGGCACACCCAGACAATTATTCCCTATGTAATCCTAACTGTCTTTAAATTAATTGACAAATTAGCTTCTCAAACTCTAATATTCAAAGAAAAGCTAATTCAAAACATGGTATTTGGCCATCAAACTCCTAATGGATATGAATGAAAGGAAAGCAACAAAGGCAGTAACTTACTAACTCAAAGCTTGAACACAAAGTAAGTACTCTTCCCACCTTTTCTTTCCCATGTTCTGCTCACCAGTAGAATATTATTCCCATCAATTTTCTGATTCTTCAATCATACACAAGATTTTCTACACAAATGATCCCAGATTATGATGAAAAAGTCAAAAAGGAGGCTCTAGAAAGCACTGATGTGCCTCATAATTTCCTGGAGCATTACTCAGTGAAAGTTTCCAAATTAGGTACCAAACAAATAATTTCTTTCCCCATGAAAAAAAGGGCAAGGACTACAGTCAGGGCACATTTACACACAAGAAAAATTAGATCTGATTGTTATTAATTGCGTGGTTAACAGTACGAAATGCTTGAAGAGAAACTTTAAAGAGGACTTTAAGTAGAATTTAACTAACAATCCTGTGCTGATTCAAAAGAAAGCACAAGAAGGTTTTATGAAGTGAACAGCTGGGGAACTATGCCTAAAGATATTAAACAGATGCAAAAGCTGTCCACATAGTGAGAAAATGACTGGAATGGCAGCACTGCATTAAGAAGGAATGATCAAATGTCTGTATTTCATGTGTCTGAAGAGCAGGAGAAAAGGGTGTTATGAGGTGAAAACAACAGTAATTTTCAACAGAGCATACCAAGACTACAGAGCATTGTCAAAAAAGAAATAAAAATGTGCAGTACAAACAGAAGGTAATTATTAAAATGAAGAAATAATAAAATGGATGTGGTAAGGTTTAGACAGGTTCTGGATGTGTGAGTCAAAAGAAATAGGCCAAAACGGGTACCAAGATTACAGCCTTGAGTGAAAAGAGGCATTGTTACTTTATCAGTTCTTCTTAGTTATCCTACACTAGAACAGAGAACAGACAATGCAAAAACAAGTTAGTATTTTGAAATATAGACAAATTTCCATTTAGAAATTACGAAATAGAAAATGAAGATATTTGCTTGTGTATGGAGACCATGATATCATTAGCCACTGTTAAACAGGTGCAGGTATTCTATCCTATGGTGCCTTAAGTACCAACCAGTCCCGGCAGAGGCAGAGGGTTCAACAGGGCCAAGGGTCCTGCCCTTACACCACAAGAACCCCCTGCAGCTCCAGGCCTCTCCATCCTTCCTGCAGGGCTCAGTGTGAGGCTCCAGCTTCCTCCTGTGCCAGGGGCACTTGCTCCAGCTGGCATTGCCACCAAGGCCTGGGGCACATCCCTGCCATTGCAGCCTTAAGCAGGGCCCTCCTTCACTGAGCACCATTGCTGCTTCTTGGCCCCCACTGCCCTCCTATGGATGCTAGCTTTGGAGCAGGCTGCAGGCCCATGGCCTCTCAGTCCTGCCTGAGAAGCTAGCCTGGGAATTCAAAGGAGGATTTCAAAACAATCCTCAGAGACAGAAAACAACTGTCAGGTGCTGTTTGTCTGTCCTCTTGTTTTCCTTGCAGGAGAGAGTCAGGGGGGCAGAGTGCCCCTGACCAATGATGGTAATGTAGCACTTTGTTAACCAATAAGAGTTTCCTTTCTGTACTTTCCACGTATCTGTCTATAAGACAGGCCTGAAGCAATAAACTAAGGAATTCTCGTGTTGAAACTCCCTTGAGAGTCCAGTGTCGTTCTTTCTAGCCTTTCCCAATTGGAACGACACCCTCCAACTCCCAAGATCCCTGGAACATCAAAGAATAAGGATAAGCAGCCCCTTGGAATGGGCAGAAAGTTGAGCAGCACTCCTGGGCAAAGCCTCTGGTCCTTCCTAGAGGCACCTTACTGATGAGGCAGTGCCAGCCTTTCCAGAGATGGCAAGGACAAGAGAGAGCAAATGCCAACAAGCATTGCAAGCTGTGCCAAGGGACGTTTGGGTTGGACATTAGGAAGAGTGTTTGCCCAGAAAGGGGCCCTTGGGGGTGGTGGGGGGGAAGTTTCTTTGGCCAGCTTAGTCCTGGAGCTGCTGCTGATGGGAATTGTCCTCAGATGGTGCCTTGGCAGAAGGCTCTGGAGATGCTGGGGAGAGGTGAGGGAGTGGGATGGGTCAGGGGCCAGGATGAAACAAGTTCTTGGACCAAGCTGGTGTCAGGCAGAGCACAAGAGCCCCCATGGAGGAGGAAATCCAGGCAGATCCCGAGAGTCCTGGGCCTCTTGGGCAGCACTTTGCCCAAGGCCCCAAAGCAGAGGGATCATTTCAAGCCCAGGGAGAGAATTTGGGCCAGGGCCTGAGCCCTGATGAAGTTTTTCTTAGCATTAGTATTCTAAGAAGTTGACAGTTTTTCAGATAAAGGTTCTACCCATATACTTCTCTCACTGCCTCATTTTAGATTTTTCATGTAGTCCAGTTTAGTAAAGTTCAGCTTTTCTACACATTGCTGTTTTATTTTCTTGATATTCCATCCTTTATTAAAATCAAGTTCCTTCATTGGAAGAAGGAGTATGCTGCTGTTTTCTAGGAAATGTTAACTTTGATGGCTTACTCATTCCTACAAGCCCAATAGGACAAAAGACTACAAATCAGCTTTACAATTTCAAAAACTACTCCTTCAACTCTTACACATTAATTTTATTATTGGCCATGTTCTGAAGCAATACCAAACCCACACATAAAACAAGGAGAAGATAATCAGCAGTTGACATCACCTTCTAAACTACATATTAAATTTAGTTTAAGGTCTCTGATGCAAGTTTGAGTGTAAATGGAGACATTCACACAGTGGCATTACCAGTTGGTAGTTTTGGCCTTTCCAGTGAGTTTCCTTTTTATTTTTTCTTTTACCAAATTAAGGAAAAAAACAAACAGAAGCAATTTTTTTAGGCGGAGAAAAGACATGGTCGGTTTTCAAGAAAGCATTTTATTCTGCCCTTATTATAACCTAATGGGGAAAATGTGAGTTTTTAGTAAAACCTCACTGTGATGTTGCAGTTGTTCTAGCACTGTGATGAATAACAGGCAGGTCTGTAAGATTCCTGTAGCTCATCCCATGCAAGGGTCATTGACCACTTATCACTGTAGGGATCACTGGGAATAAGGACAGTGGAAAAGGTGGAGGTAGCTGGATAAATAAGTACTTACAATTTACTTTGCAAAAAAAAAAAAACCCAACTCAAATCAAAGCTATAAAAATAGTTATCCTCTGAATTAGGAGAATTTAAATTAACTGTTTTATGACTGTTTTTTGTTCATATTCTTAGGTTAAATATTGTCATTTCTATCTGAAATATTCATCATTATTATGTTTTTCAGAAGTGAATGACAAAGTGATATATACCTCTCTTCCCAAAATATGATTTTAATGTTTGCAAGTTTAATCACTTAGGAAGCAAAAGGAACCCCACATGTCTCAGGATCAATAGAAACCAACCAACAAAATTTGACAAAGTATATTAAATTATCAATAAAGTGAGTAAATATTTTCCACTGTAGAGATAGATGCCACCAGCTTATGAATTTTTCTAGTACAGACTTAGTGAAGAAAAAATCAGTGTTTACTGCCAAATCAGTCATGAGTTGTTCTATTCCACTGCCAGTATGCTGTGGGTATAAACACCATATTCTTCACAGTCTTATCCACAAAAATTCCCACTTTAAAATTAAGTCTGGTTTTGAGTTTGACCAAACTAATGAAAATACTCTATTAAAACACAATGATGGCAGCAGGGTCAGTCTTTGCAATGAAAATCTAAGATTTAACAGTATGTTTCTGATCAGATCTCCAGGGCTGAGTATACATGGTTATTGTGGTGGCTTGGCCCTTGCTGGCAGGCAAACTTCCACCCAGACACTGGCTCATTTCCTCTGCTCAGGAGGAAAGGGAGAAAATAAGAAAAGCAGAAACAAGAAAGCTGCCTCAAAGATAGGGAGGTCACTGATGAAACCTGGAAAATCTTATTTATCACCATTTGAAATGAATATTTAATTATATTAGTATTTTTTATTATTATTAGATAGAGACAGCCAACCTGACTCAAAGCACTAAGCCAGTCATCTTGTTTTGGTAGTGAGACTGGAGGATGACAAAAAATGTGACATTCCCCTGACATAAATGTCTTTGCTCCAATTTTAATGAAACAATATGTTTTTCTGTATTTCTTTAAGAAATAGCTAATGAAAAGTCATTTCTTTATTCTAAAAATTATTCTGTTACAAGGAGCAATTTAGTTAATGCTCTTCTGATTTACAAAAGGCACTAAAGTACTCCAACCAAGTTTTCTTTATACTGAAATTCTTCATGATGAGATTGGAAACTCCTCAAGATGGGGTCCTGTAATGTGGCAGGAAGAGTGTTATTAGACAACCAAAATATTACTAAAGACCAACTATATTCCATTTATATATTACATTTGGGAATGTATACATTTCTTCAGCACACATCACTGAAATTAAGCTAATTAATTAACGATAAATGATCTGGAAAAGGATGGGAAGGTGGTAAAGTATGCTGTTAATACAAAGTTACTGAGAGTAAAGATAGAACTGACTGAGGGAATGTGCTTAAAACCTCACAATGCTGAGTTCACAGGCAGGTGAAATGTACTGTAGATAACTGTAATGTAAACACAGAAAAAAAAATCCTAATCTTACCTATAAAATTATCTAGTGGATGTAGGTGTTAACAATCAGAACACAAAGTCTGGGATCTATATACTTAACATTGTGAAAACAGTGTTCAATGCTCAACAGAACCACTTTCAACAATGCTCGGTTTATCTGCCCTCTCACTTCCCTAGCAAAGCAAAACAAATGAGAGACAGGAATTACAAGGAAAGAAACCATTATTTGGACTGTGCTTCTGTCTTGAATACTGGGTGTAACTCCTGATCTTCTCTACTCCAAAAGCATATAGTAGTGCTCAAAAAAAGAAAAAAAACCCAGTAACATGAAAATAATCTGAAGAAAAATATGTCCAAACTCTTCAGTTTAGAAAATAAATGCAAGACTGAGGAAAGATGTAATATCATGAATTGAAGAGGCATGGCGACTAGAGAGCAACTGTTCATTGTTTCTATCAAAATGAGAAGAATATCAATTAAGACAAATAGGAAACTTAAAATTTGTGGATTAAGAACCTACTAAGAACTGTCAAGAATAAGACACCACTTCTGATTCAGGAAGTGCTGAAGCCACAGATGGTTGCATCCTTGGCATTTAGGGATCATGTGATGTCCTATCTCTGTGCTCTTCCTCAGGCACTTCCTAGTTCCACTGCTAGAAGTATCCCCAAATGTGTTTTAATGAAGATTACACCAGCGAATTATTTCTGGAATGCATTTATTTATAGCTGAATTCAAGACAATTAAAAAAAAAATAAAGAATATGCATAAAAGCAAGGTATTTCTCAGCCTTAAGAGCATTTACAAGTATACTTGATTGTGGTCTAATTGATATCACAAACATATAAACACAAGAAAATGTAAGAATATAATCCCAAAAGAACTACACATTTTCCTTTTTCTAAAACTTTTTAGAACCAGTATGATGGCACAGAATCTTTGTCAAGTGTACCAAGCCAGGAGAGATTTTTTTTTTCTTGTTTTTGGAAAAAGAGTGTAATTTCTAAGAGAGGAAGATGCATTATGGTATCAAAATTCCACCAGATTGATCTGCCTTTTAAAAAAAATAAGTCATTACTTACTTCCCTCCCACGTACAGGAGTTACTCTATTTGCCATTGCATGCTGAATTTTGTGTCAGGAATCACGCTTGATGATTTCTGTTCATGGCCAGGCCCGTGTCCTGTGGCAGCACTTCCTGCCACCCCACAGCTTCCACAAACCGGCTGCTCAAAGGGAGGCAATCACAAGCAGTGGGACCAAATCATTTCAACAGTTCCTTGTTTCAGTAAAAAAAGACAAAAAAAGTGCAGCCACTGCATTATCCGAACTCTTTTCTGAAGCAGTGTAAGTAAAGCAGTACAATATTATGGGGAAACATGGCTCAAAGGACCTTTGTTCTAAGTAAAAAGGTAAACACGCACAATTATAATAAATTTCAGAAGTGCTTAGCAGTTACTTTTCCAGAAACAAACAAACAGAATGAATGAGCAAAGGCATTACTCAAAATCCCATTAGCTGCCTATTTTCCTTTACAGCAGTCTAAACACTTCCACCGATCCGTTCCAAAATTATTGTTTTGTTCCATTCCAAAGGTATTAGCTGTGCAAATAAACCTGGTCGTGCGATGCGGTCTGGTCTGTAACGTGGTTAACGAAGGCGGAAAAAAAGAAATAAAAATTAAAAAAAAAAGTAGATAATTAGTCTAATCCATACTTACTTCTCGGGTGCTAAAAATAAATAAAAATAAAATAAAAAGGGATAAAAAGGAAAAAGTGATGCTCCTCAGAGGGAAAACACTTGGATACTCTGCGCGTGCTTTAGAGCCCGTAGGAACAACTTTTCCGCGGCATCTCGAAGCGAAATGACAGATAAAGCACAAAGCCGCTCCGGTTCAGCGCTCCTGCCCCTCCGTGGCTTCCCCCGCGCCCCTCGCTGCGGCTCGGCCCGAGCCCCGCACGCTGCCCTG